AATGAATAAATCAAATCAAATCAAAATCAAAATAATATTAACAAAGGCCTAAATCGACCAGAAAAATGTTGGTTCCCAGATGTGACAGTTCACAATAAAAAGGGAGATGATGTGTCCTTCATGAGTGAATTGTAACATCCCCTTTGTTTCTCTCTGCAGTATGTGGCATTTGCTTCACTCTTCTTCATCCTCCTCTCCATCTCCACCTTCTGCCTGGAAACCCACGAAGTCTTCAACACAATCTACAACAAAACAGAGAATTTCACTATCAGCAATGTGACACATGAGGAGGTATGGTGATATTTTAGTGAAATGTCTTTTTGTTTTTTTGTTTTTTAAGAAATGTTTTGTAACTGTTAAAAAGCAATTCCAGCAATTCACTGTGGCTCTTTTATAAAGTTTTATAAACTTATGTGTCAGGGACCATATCCAAAAACATTAACCACATACAAAGAGTATAGATATACTGTATCAGATTTAGTTAACAGTTTAATTCCATCTGGGCAGGTGGGTTTATGTGTAAATTTAAGCGATTGCCCTTTTAATGAGACATAATTAGTCACTTTTCTTGTAAGAAGGTCACTGAGGTGATCAAGCAGGTGGTGTCTTTATCTTGTTAATTCAGAGTCAGTACAGCAGTACAGGATCATCATAAGAGATCTGATGGATTATATACCAAGTATTAAATGCACATATATTTATTTTTTGTGGTGTAATATTATTTCCACAGGATTTTGGGGCTGAACTCAATGTTGGAAAGGACAAGAATTGAATTGTAGCTGCTGCTATAGCTTGTTAGCTTGATACAGAGGTAGTGCCGACAGAAGGGGTTGATAAAATCAACAAACTTTATTTATTTACTTATTTTCTTTCACCCTGCAGGTAGTTTTTGAGGTGGTCACAGATGACTGGCTGACATATGTGGAGGGTGTCTGTGTCATCTGGTTCACCATTGAGGTGTTGGCACGTGTCATCTTCTGCCCTGACAAGGCAGAGTTTTTCCGCAGCGTCCTTAACATCATAGACTTTGTGGCCATTGTGCCGTTTTACCTGGAGGTGGCACTGAGTGGCCTCTCCTCCAAAACAGCCAAAGACGTGCTGAGCTTCCTCCGTGTAGTGCGCTTTGTCCGTATCCTGCGTATATTCAAGCTGACCCGTCACTTTGTTGGTTTACGGGTCTTGGGCCACACTCTGCGGGCAAGCACCAACGAGTTCCTGCTGCTCATCATCTTCCTGGCGCTGGGCGTCCTCATCTTTGCTACCATGATCTACTATGCTGAACGCATTGGTGCCGACCCAGCTGATCCAACGGCTGCAGCCCACACCGACTTCAAGAACATCCCCATTGGCTTCTGGTGGGCTGTAGTGACCATGACCACGCTGGGTTATGGGGATATGTTCCCTAAGACATGGTCAGGAATGCTGGTGGGTGCCCTCTGCGCCTTGGCTGGTGTGTTGACTATTGCCATGCCTGTGCCTGTCATTGTCAACAACTTTGGCATGTACTACTCCCTGGCCATGGCCAAGCAGAAGCTCCCTAAGAAGAGGAACAAGCACATCCCCCGAGCACCACAGCCAGGCAGCCCCAACTACTGCAAGCCAGATGCCCTGGCCATGGCCACTGCCTCACCGCACAGGCTGATGGGCAATGTGCTCGGCCCAGGCATGGCAGGATCTGGCAGCATGATGGGTACTGGAGACTGCCCATTAGCACAGGAGGAGATTATCGAGATCAACAGGGCAGGTGAGTGATTGAAATGACCTGAGATCATACTGAAAGTGTATGTAAGAATTCCAATGGGCCTTGCAAGTCCAAAAAGTGTGTGGATATGGGGGAGAAGCAGCATTGAACGTATCTTATTTTAACTTCAAGTTCAATGTCCATATATAAAGGCCCACACAAGCACTTTGAGCAGCAAAATGTCAGAATGAACTAAATTCATATTAACTGAATCGAGCTTAACATTGGATCTGCTTATTGGAATCAAAGTAAATCTAGGCAGTTCTTACACCTGCAGTTCAACTTTGATACTAAGGTATCTTTCTTATTCCCAGGATCAAATCACGCAAAAGATGATCCGTTGACAGTGATCAAATTTGTTGCAATTGCTTCTTTTGTCCTCCTTCATCATGTGTATAGAATATACAATTTTGCCATTCAGATTGTCTACACTGACCTAATCTGTACACACATCATCTCTTACATGTCTATCCAACCTGGAAGAGGGATCCCTCCACTGTTGCTCTTCCTGTGGTTTTTGGAGGGGTGTGGGTTTGTTATCCACTTTGACAGTGTGAGGACAGAGAATGTTGTATGCTGTGTAGGTTAGAAAGTCCTTTGAGGGAAATTTATGATTGGTGTTATTAGGGTATGTAAACAAAATTTGACATGATTTGACAACTACTGTAAGAGTCAAAAGCCCAAATATATTTCATTTACAGTTGTTCACTGAATCTAATCCAAGAGTCATGGTCTTGTCCACTGCAGGTTCGATTAAGCTTGTTGTGATCAAACTCCAACACTTTCTGAGGAAATTTAGATCTTGGGTTTGCACATTTTAGTTCCCTCAGTATGACATCCTCAGCAGATGTGTGGGCTCTAATCCATCATGTTGAATAACACAGATTTCCATTTATTCAGTTTTTCTACTTGCACTAAGATCAATATTCTCAAAATGTAAGAACAACATATGGTACAAACTAGAATGTCAAATCTAAGCCTGCATCTTGTCAGCTATTTAAAAATCTAATAATCACTTTTTCAGTTTTAAAACAATGTTCCACTTTCTCATATGGGATATTTAAAAATTAAATTAACAAATGTGACTATTGTCAAGTCAGTGGTGAATAATGTGAATTTTCTGCTAGTTTTATTCTTAGCACATTAGCTTTCTTGACATTGATAATGTCAAGAATAGTGCCAGTGGGGTAACTATCAAAACACTGAAGGAAGGCCATTGACTGCAAAGAAAATATCTGACAAACCACTGAGCTATCCACATGGTACAGTAACAGAGCTGCACGACGTGGTGTCCCCCCAACACATCCTGGTGCGTACTGCGTATGTGCAAGGAAAGTACAAAAAGCACGTTGGGACATTTTTTTTATTCCGTTCGATGCAATCTTCCTGTATCAGACATATCTTCTTCTTTACGCCAATATTTACAGAGGCCCAAATTCTAAAGTTAATCACTGCAGTGGCCAACAAAAGTAATTACATAAGACTCAAAGTTTTTTGCTTTCTAATCAGACCGGCCAGATTTCAAGCACTTAACTTGTATCACTGAATGTGATACCCTGAATGTGTATTTAACAGGTTTTGAAGTTGTAAACTTGCTGAAGTCCTTGTTCTTTCTAGAGTGGAGTACATAAAATTTGCGATGGGACGAGCAAGATCAAAAAGCTTATTCACTAATCTATCTAGTCCCTCTCCCAGCCAGATGTTGTACTGCCAAGGCTGACATGCATTGTGTCTATATACTATAGATATACAGTATTTTCTGCCTGTCAAATCTGATCCAGTCATCTCATATCTGTTCTGCTCTGCTGTTTTAATAGCTATGTACATCAGCTGCACTGATGCACAAATGTGTGTGGTGACATGCTGCTTGAGGTGGAGTTGCAGGATTTAAGGTTTATAACTATGAATAGTCTTGAGATTGATTTGCTACCAGTGTCTAACAACAAACTGATATGTAATCAGTGCATCTGTGTTTATGAGACCTACATACTTTAAATACAGCATATGTACAGCATTGTATCAGGAAGTTAAGTATGGTCAACAGCACAATTTGAATAAACCACAGCATCAATGACAGGTGTATATTTTTCAAGAGAAACTAAAAATACATACAAAATACATGACATTTCTGTTGTGGTGTCAACATTAGCATAATAGTGGTCATACTGCTGACAGGGAGCAGAAAATCTTGATGCCATAAAAGGTGTGACATCAGTCAATGCTTACACTTCTGACTTTTGAGTGGACAGATAACTGGACAGCCCAAAACAAAGAAAGCTGTAGTAGTTGTGTTGCACTGCTCAGATGGAGTATAGGAGCATTTGCAGAGAGTTAACTGACAATGCTTTTTGTACAGCACAGTAGTTGTTAGCTTGCCAGCTACAGTAGTTCCACCAGTTAGCCCTAGAAGTGACACATCACCAAGCTTCTCACACCACCTACACAACTGTGGAATGGCTGGTTCCAGAAACATTTCTCCCCAGTCTGTATTCACATTTCTTTTTTTTTTTTTTATAATATCCTCTGTGTTGCTTAAAATGTGAGAAAAAAACAAAACAAAACAAAACGGGACACTTGTGAATAATGTAGTAATCCTTGGTTTTAAACTTAGATTATTTCAACTTTGTTTCTGCAAAGTGATGTTTTATCTCATTTTACCACGGAGAAGTATTCAGTCAGAGTGTGTAGGTTATAAAATCTGTTTTTTAACAGCATAATCTTCGGCTTCTGACTGCCACTAGCAGTGAGTGTCACAGAATTTTAAGCTTGGTAGTTGTTTGTTGCCAAAGTAAGAATGTCAATTGATTATTTGAGATAGGGCTGCAAGTAACGACTAAACTAAAGTTGAAATTAAACATAGACAGTGGCACTGCTCCTGCTTTTTATGTTTTGTTTTGTTTTTGGTTATTTCTACATTAACACTAAAGCAACATTTAAACATTTCTGTAACTTTCTGAAACTGGCTGACATTTATACCCTCTTCAAGCAGTGATTGGCCAGCTGTTCAGTGTTGAGAAAGGATTTCACTTTTGTCTCCAGCACTCTTTTTCATTTGTTACACAACTATTTGCAGCACTTTTCATAAGAACAACTGAGTGCAACACTATCCCTAGAGTTAAACAATCTCATCTCTCCTCTCTCTAGCATTTCACACCGTCCACTGTGTTTGTTTAGATCAGATGTCCACATCTGATTTCTGATGTAGTTGAGCAGCACACCTTACAAACTAGTTCTGAAACCATAAACTGATCATAAAGCTGACAGGATTGTCCATCAGAATTACTTGTTACATCACTGAATAGCTTCAGAAACTCCATCCACCCACCTCACTGATGTTGCAATTTGGGGGCTGTGTCTGACCATTTCTTTAACTTTTCGAGAATCCAGCATTCACAGCCTCTTCACACTGTGACTTGTCAGCCGTCTGGAGGTGAGAGAGGAGCCAGTTTGAATGTTTCTCTCAAGCTCTTTTCTATTTCTGTCACTTTCCTGTGAACAATGGAGTGCAATCCTATTCCAGGAGAAACTGTCTGAAAATGTACCCTGTTATCCCCAATGTGAATGACATCATGTGTCCACCAGCTTTCAGCATTGCCTTTGTGTGAGGCTGTTCAGAGGAACCACAAACAACTGCGCTCCTACATGATTGGACAACAGGTTTTATGAACCCAGTGTCTTGTTCAGTGTTACATACATTTGTGTCTTTTCTTGCTATCTCCAGCCATGTGTTTTCTTTCTCCTATTGAGCTGTAAGTCATATCAAATTAGTTTTGACAGGTGTGGTGAAAGCTACAAATACCGTTTCCCACCGTAGCCGTCTTCTTTTCTGCGAGTGTGTGTGATACCTAATGTGATACAGGTTCTTTCTGTCTCTCCTTCTCCCATTGCCTTTAGTCTCTCTCATTCAGTGCTATTAAATGCTGTGTGCCCATAGCCTGCTCTGCTGTAGTTTATTGGTCATGTGATCAGGATAAGTATCACAAGGCACTAACGTTCCTTTATGCCCCCCCCACCGACATTCTCTCTTCTATCATTTTTTTCATCCTCTCTTTTCCATTTTTAATTTTCATTTTTCCTACTAATGACTTGTTTTACCACTTCTCTTCCATCTCCCATTTTTGGTTGCTGTTTTTCATATCCTGGTCCCTTCTCCTTGTCGTCCTCTGAGTCATTCCTCACCACCTGCTGTCATATCTCACTTACTGCTTTTATGCTCTCAATCTTACCTTCCCTGCCTCTCACAATGGGCCCACCTCTGATTCCCTGACTGGCATCTTCTCTTCCTTCACCTCCCCTCCTCCACACTCACTCTCAAACATCTCCCCTCTTCATTTTTTGCTTACTTTTCCTCATTTAAAAATATGATTTTGACTTTGATTGATTTTCCTCTTGTTTATGCCCTTTTGTTTGTTCAACCTCTCCTCTCCATGTTTCATCTTAACTTTTTGTCCTCTCCTTTTTCATCACCTGTCTCCTGTTCCCTCCTTTCTTTCCTTTAACTTTTCCATTTTCCTCCTATCCTTCTCTCTCCTCCTGTTCCCTCCTTTCCTCTCCATTCTTGGCTCATTTCCTCCTCACCCCCTCTCAATATTTCCTCTACTTATTTCCTCCTCTCACCTTCCTTCCTTTCTATGTTGCCTCTTCTTTCCTCTACACTTTTACTCTTTTTCCTATTAATTTCCCCTCCACTGCTACCCCGCATCTCTCTACCCCCATTATTTCTTTGTTCCCACTCTCCCAGACTCCAAGCAGAACGGTGATGCAGCAGCCAGTGCAGCAGCCCTGGCCAACGCGGACTGCCCCCCCCTTTAGCAGG